CATTGGGCTCAACGCGACTTTTGGCAAGTCTGAGCCTCTGTTAGTCGCCTCCTCCTATGCACAACACCTGGGCTCTTACAAAAACCTGCTTCAGTTCCCTACTCTCTTTCATAGGACAACCTTCATTAAAAGAGGCACTGCCTTGATACCACTCCAGGCCTCTACCCTTCAAGAACAAAGAATCAAAGTGCCGGAGGTTCATGTGTAAAGTGCAGTCAACCAGCAGCCAACTTATGGTGAACCCAGCAAGTGGCTTTCAAGGCAACGGAGACGCAGAGGCGGTTTGCCATGGCCTTCCTCTGCCGCAGGGGTCGTTTCGTAAAAAAAGAGCTAGGGGAACTCATTAGCATAACTCATTAGTATATGCCACACCCCTGACATCACCGAAGTGTGTCATAAGGCCACACACCCTGCCCCCAATGGTCCCGGCTGCCACCGCCGATCTTGCAGCTCCACTGCCAAGCCCCATGAGGGGCCCGGCGGTGGACCTGCAAGGCCGGCGGGAGTGCAAGGAAGTCCCGCGAAGGCCCTCCCTGGCCCCAGGCAGGCAGGGGTGGGGAGAGGCAGGGAGGAAGCAACTTACCCTCCCTCTTCTCCTGCCTCCTCCTGGCTGAATGAGGGCCGGAAGCGGGGCGACCGGAAGCGGGTGGCCAGAAGCAGGGAGCGGGGCTTCGTCATGTGCCCCGCCCCCCGTATCTCACCCGGGGGAACTGCGATCCCCCGCGATCCCCCCCGAAATGACCTCTGCTCTGCCGTCTTCCCTGGAGGTCTCCCATCCAAGTACTAACCGGGGCTGACCCTGCTTAGCTTCTGAGATCTAATGTGATCCGGCTGTCATGACACTGTCTAACCATCTCATCCTTTGCCGTCCCCGTCTTCTTTGACCTTCAATCTTTCCCAGCATCAGGGTCTTCTCCAGTGAGTGCTCCCTTCTCATTTGGTGGCCAAAGTATTTGAGCTTCAGTTTCATTATCTGGCCTTCCAGGGAACAGTCAGGGTTGATTTCTTTGAGGATTGACTGATTTGTTCTTCTTGCAGTCCAAGGGACTCTCAAGAGTCTTCTCCAGCACCATAGTTCAAAAGAATCTATTCTTCGGCGCTCGGCCTTCCTTATAGTCCAACTCTCACAGCCATACATGACTACTGGGAATACCATTGCTTTGACCATGCGGACTTTTGTTGGCAGGGTGATGTCTCTACTTTTTATCATGCTGTTTAGGTTCGCCATCGCTTTCCTCCCAAGGAGCAGGCGTCTTTTAATTTCATGGCTGCAGTCACAGTCTGCGGTGATCTGGGATCCCAGGAACGTGAAGTCTGTCACTACTTCCACGACTTCCCCTTCTATTTGCCAAGGAGTGATGGGGCCGGATGCCATGATCTTAGTTTTTTTGATGTTGAGCTTCAAGCCCACTTTTGCGCTCTCCTCTTTTACTCTGAGCAAGAGGCTCTTTAGATCCTCTTCACTTTCAGCCATTAGAGTGGTATCATCTGCATATCTGAGGTTGTTGATCTTTTCCCCAGCAATCTTAATTCCCGCTTGTGATTCATCCAGGCCAGCATTTCGCATGATGTACTCTGCATATATATTAAATAAGCAAGGCGACAATATACATCCTTGTCGTACTCCTTTTCCTATGCTGAACCAATCAGTTGTTCCATATCCGGTTCTAACTGTCGCTTCTTGGCCCTTATACAGGTTTCTCAAGAGACATGTGAGGTGGTCTGGTACTCCCATCTCTTTAAGGACCTGCCATAGTTTGTTGTGATCCACACAGTCAAAAGCTTTAGCATAGTCAATGAAGCAGAAGTAGATATTTTTCTGGTACTCTCTTGCTTTCTCCATAATCCAGCGAATGTTGGCAATTTGATCTCTAGTTCCTCTACCTCTTCGAAACCCCGCTTGTACTTCTGGTAGTTCTCTATCCACGTCAGTCCCACAGCCCAGCAAAGCAATATTCCGGGAAGACCCACAGCCTTCCCGTACTCCAGATCTTAAGGGAATCGCTCAAGGCCCTCTTGAGCTATCAGAATGATTCTCAGCAACCCAAACCCCATAGCCCCTAACCAGCTGGATTCCAAGACCGCTCTGGGGCAGAGTGGGTTAATTTAATTCAAAATAACTTGTCTATGATTTAGATCACAGTTCCAAACCACCAAGGTGGGAGAGAACCCAATTTAAATAACTGATGAACATTCCCATTTTCAAATTCGTACACCATAATGGAACACGTCAGTGGATTATTGATTGGACAGGAGGCCCAGGGCACGCAGATTCCAATCACCACCCAGTCTCAAAGCTCACTGGGTGACCTCGTGCCAATCATTCTGCCTCATTAGAGCATAAGAAGAATGCTGAGGGATCAGAGTATTAATTCACCTAACCCAGCACCCTGCTGCCCAGTAGGCAGTCAGATGCCCAAAAGGCCCACGGCATGGGTCAAAGTTTTCCCCTGCTCTTGCCCCACAGCACCTGGCATTCAGAGGTACACTGCTCCTGATCATGGAGGTCCCATTCTGCTATCATATCTATTGATGGATCTTCCCTCTCAGCCTAACCCGCTTCACAGGACTGTTGTGGGAATAAAACGTGAAAAAGAGTTCCCTCAAATTCCTGCCCTTTCTTAGAATAGTGGGATAAAAATCAAATCACAAACAGAAGTAAATACCCAGGATGAGGCTAGGAGGTCCATAAACATCTATAATTTGAGAACTAGATGCACTGATTCAGGGCGCGAGAACATAAAGAACGAAAGCAAGATGGCTCATATGAGATCCTTGGAGGCGTATAGCAGGGGTGGCCCAACTGTGGCTTGGGAGCCACATGCGGCTCTTTCACACATATTGTGTGGCTCCCGGCAGGTCTTCCCTTCCCCAGCCAGTGTTCCCCTCCCTGGGTAGGCTTGAGGCAAGGGGGAGCAGGGACAGGGGAAGAGAGCGGCTTTACCTTTAAATGCTTTCTTACCCCCCCCCCCGCCCACAAATATAATTGTACAAATAAATCTCAGTATCAGTATCTATTTTTATCCCTTTTGTTTTTATTTTTGGCAGTCTCATTTAATGTTAATAAAAAGCACATTTGCATATATTTCAATAAAAACATGTCTATAATATTTGTTCGCATTATGCGGCTCTCAAACATCTGATGTTTATTCTGTGTGGCTCTTAAGCAAGTTTGGCCACCCCTGACGTATAGGATGGTTTTCTCCTGTAATTTGTACTTGTGAAGTCTTGGCTAGCGCCAGCATCCACTTAGAAGCCCTTGTGTGACCTAGTGAATCATTTATAACGCTTGACAACAGCTTCTCTCACCCCTTTTGACACACAAGAGTAGGCTTGAACCTTCAACTGTTTGATAGAGGATTCCGACTCAGCCATCAAAAAAAAAAATCACTGATTTTTAAACTGCTCAAAGCAGAGGTACCAACTCTATGCAGTGTTTTTAAAAAAGAAAAGGATCCTCCTCTCCCTACTCCAAGGGAGCCCAGGAGTTCAGCCATCCCTCCACCTTTTGATATTAGAGGAACCCAGGACTCCTGGCTCTACCTACCATTGCACACCCAAGAGCCCATCAGTCCAAGCTCTGCTCCTTAGCGGTCTGAGATCCCTAAACATCTTCCAGTAAATCTAGGCCTCTGAACGACTGTGCACCCAAAGATCTGATCTGGATGGCCCAGGCTAGCTCGATGTTGTCAGATCTGGGAAGCACAACAGTGTTGGCCCTGGTTTCTGCTTGGATGGGATCCTGCCAAGAAAGTCCCAAGTCGCTAAGCAAGCACACCCCTGTTTGTGTCTTGCCTTGAAAACCTTACTGGCTGTGCCTTCACAGCACTTCACTCACACACCGAGCTTATTCAAGAGGCCAGATTTTACCTTCCCCTTTTCAAAGGAGGATGACCCAGAGAGGAAACCAGGAGCCCCCAGTTCCCAGCCCCCCATGAACCCGGGAGTGGGAGCGCTCCTTCCCTTCCTACCCTAAAGGGAACCTGGGAGTCCACTCTCCTTTCAACCCGAAGTTGCTTGCCTAACAGAAGTACCCTTCAGCGCATTTGATGGAGGTGAGCTCTGAGTCAGGAGAGCTTCAGGCTGGAACAAACTGCAGTAGGAAAGAGTAAGTGTCCAGGAGCAGTTTCAAGATGAACAAAATTGGTGGCAGGGAATGAGCTTTCCATGTTATCTGGAGAGAAGTGAGCAGTGACTCAGGAAAGCTCATCCCCTGCCACAAATGGTGTTAGTCTCGAAGGGGGCTCCTGTACTCTGGCTCTTTTCTACTACTACAGACAGACTAACAGGGCTCCCCAACATCTTGATCTCGGCATGAATTGCGTTAGCATTTAAAGCGTCGCTAGGCGCTTTAAAGGAGCCCAGGACTTCTCGGGAACCCGGGACTCCTGGCCATCCCTTGTAACTGAGTCCCTCGGGTAAGTCTGTCAATATTGCCTGGCACTGGTTGCTCCCCCAACCAAATGCTTGAGCCCCTCAGCACCCCCAAAGTTTACACCTCTGCTTCTTCCCTTTCCCACGCGAAAGGAAGCCAGGAGTCCGATCCGCACTCCACTCCACTCCACCCAACCCCTCCCCACCAATGTTCCCTCTAAGCTGCGGAGGCTTGTGAGCAAAAATTCTACTTTGTGAGCTACTAGCATGAAAGTTGTGAATCAGCAATTTGGCTACGGCATAAATGAGTTTGCTCTGGAGCCCTCAATTCCTGAGCGGAGACAAAAATGTGTGAGCTGGAGGCTAAAAAACTGTGAGCTAGCTCACACTGACTCAGCTTAGAGGGAACACTGCTCCCCACCCTCGCCTTTGGGAACCCAGGAACTGCACTCTGCTCTACTCCACCCCCCCCCTCGTTCTCTTACCCATGGAAGGAACCCAGGCGTCCGAGCCCCCTAGCCAGGGCTCCCTCCCCTCCCTCCCCCTCTTCAATGCAGAGATGGACCCAGGAGTCCGAGTCCCCCCCGCCCACCGAAAGCCCCAGGCATCCGAGCACCTCCACTTACCAGCTAACCTCCTCTCGAAAGCCCCGCTGGCAAAGAGGAACCGGCAGCAGCTGGGCCTCGCGAAGGAAGGGAGAGAGAGGGGGGGAGAGAAAGGGAGGGCAGGGGAGGGGATGGAGCCTACCACTGAGCGACAAGCAGAAGGAGGCCGTCCCCAAGCCTGCCTGCCTCCTCTGGCCGACGTGTTCCCTTCCCACATCAACTTCAGCCCCATCCCGGTTCTTTCTTTCCGGACAAGATCAGAGTTTTCTACGCTCTCCTCATTTCTCCCCCCCCCCCGTTTCCCCGCACAATGGCACATCCCGGACGGCGCCTACCTGCGGGGACAGCCTCTCAGGCCTAGCGCATGCGCAGAAGAAAAGGCACAGTGACAGGCGCAGAAGGCGGGTCGGAGCTGACTGGGAGGTCGCCTAGTCTGACCCCCTTGCAAGTCCCCGGCAGGGAAGAGCGACCCGTCTCCTCCAGCTGGGATTCTAAAGGCACGCGGAGTTAAGAAGGAGCCCCACTGCAGAGGGAAGGGCGGGCTCTTCCAGCCCCAGATTTCTGTCTCTGCTTGAGGTCAGAGGATGCACTAAGCGATTTAGCTTGGGCAAGGCAAGGTGGAGCGAGAGACGACGCTTGTTCCTAATTCTTGCGGGCTGTTTATATCTCAGGAGACTAGCAGACACCTTGCGACAGCAGCATGGAATAGCCAAATAATCTTTGGCCATGTTGATGGACAAGCAGAATAGACAACCCAAAACCTAAATCCTCAGTCCATCATTGGTACCGTCAGATGTACCACATTCTGTGTTCAAAGCAGGAATAATCCTTACAACAGCCCTATATGGTAGGCTAGCATGGTTATCCCATGGTGCAGGTAGGCCACTGAGGCCGAGAGGCTGGCCAAAGGCCACCAAGAACTAGTCTGTGACAGAGGTGAGATTCGAACCATTCAGATCAGAGCTCTTGCCACACCGGGCACGTTACAGTTGTTTGGTTAATTTATTTATTTATAGTCAAATTTATACCCCGCCCTCCCCGCAACGCAGTTGTGTTTAGTGGATTCAATTCACAGATTGGTTTTGTTTTTAAAAAATATCAGTTCCTTGATATTAATGGTGCAACCCAGTTTGCCAAGCGGCAGCTGATTTTCAAATATTATTGTAATAAAAATTGTATGTGTGTGTGTATTCAGGAAAACAGAGAACACATTAAACACTGTACTCTTTAAAATGGCCAATACATGCCAGACATCAAGAAGGTGATATCTTACTGTCCCACCAATTCATAAATGTAAAGCTTTTTTTGGAGTTACATACTATTTAAAGTCCTACCTTGTTTAGTAGGAATGATTTATCTCAGAGTAAACTTCCATAGAATTGGGCTATAAGGCTATTATCTCAACAAGCCTGCAGAAGTCTGCTTCTGCATATAGGTAGTTAAGATCTCGCTGGATGCAGTTTATCGATAATTTGGTTACTTGCCAAGAACACCTGGTAAAATCCAGCCACATAAAAGCTAATAACCACATTTATGAGTGGGGTCTTGTGGCACATTAAGGAGTAGGAGAGTCACACTGCAACTCCTAAACAGAAATATCTGAAGAAGTGAGCAATGACTCACGAAAGCTAATCCCCTGCCACATATTTTGTTAGTCTTTAAGGTGCTACTGGACTCTTGTTCTTTTCTACTCCTAAACAGAGTTACACCCATTGAACTCAAGTGGTTAGGAGGGGCTAGCTCTGTTTAACATTGTACTGTTATTAGACCACAAGCTTTCATGCACTAGAGCCCCTTCATTAGAGTCATGACATGTGTCCTTGATTGGTATTGTAGGGTTGCCAACCTCCAGGAGGGACTGAAGATCTCCCACTATTATAACTAGTGTTCCCTCTAAGCTGAGTTAGTGTGAGCTAGCTCACAGTCTTTTAGCCTCTGGCTCACACATTTTTGTCTTAGCTCAGGAAGGATGGCTCCAGAGCAAACTAATTTATGCAGTAGCCAAATTGCTCGCTCACAAATTTATTGCCAGTAGCTCACAAAGTAGAATTTTTGCTCGCAAGACTCCGCAGCTTAGAGGGAGTATTAATTATAAGTTTAACTGAGCCCCAGATGACAAAGGAGTTCCCCTGGAGAAAAGGGTAGCTTCGGCAGGTGGACTCTATGGTCCGAGGGCCCTCTCCTCCCAGGCTAACACCCCCAAATCTCCAGGTATTTCCCAACCTAGAGTTGGCAACCCCATAGGGGGCGTATAAAAAATGGACACAAAGGGGGGGAAATGCAAACCTTAGGATCTAAAAGCTCTCCCAGAGGACCACCCCATGATATATCTATGCAGATTTCAGATGCCTGCAGCTTAAACACAGAGACCATTCACAACAGCAGTGATGAATGAAAACACACCCTTGCTGCCTTTATTAAGCGAAATGTAACATCTGGAGCAAATGAGAGAACCTTTGTCTCCATTAAGCCCTCGAGCAAAAGCACTGAACTTGGTGATAACCATCCTCAGGGACTGAGAAGACCTTTGTCTCAATTTGAATCCGGAGAGAATAACATAAATAACTTTCTATAATAGATTAGCCTTGCTCCTCCCCCTCCCTCGGCTGCCACCAAGCTCCAAGAAGGGAAGGTAATATTGCAGGGTCAACAAAAGGCCTCGGCACTAACCTTGTGATACAAAAACTTCTTTCCACAAGTTGTAGAAAATTGTTGCACAATCCAGCTGATATCACTCAATTGCCCAAGGTTGTAAAGTCCACAGCAGTAGAAAGAAAGGTGGGGAGGGACCTACACAAGACCAACTTGGCTCCTAAGGTTTCTCCCTTATGAAATGTGCTTCTCGATGCACTGTCAGCTGCTCTCAAGCTTCCTATTTATCCCTGGGTCTAAATCTACAGGGTTCAACCTGTTGCAAAGTCAGCTGTGAGAAGGGGTGGAGAAGAGGGAGGAGGGCTTTGCTGGGCAGGCATCCTTGGCTTTCTCCCAAGGGGGAAGGCTGTCTGGAACCAGAAATGTAATAATGTTCCCAGATTTCCCAGAAACCACTGCAGGAACAAAGTATGCTCTGCTGCCTATGCTCTAGGCCCTAGGGAGACTTTCGATTGTGTGCTGCCTTGAAGAGAGAAGCCTAACCTTCCTCTAGTTAGGAAGAAAGGATTACACAGTTCCGTTAAAAATAATGCTTTGGCATCATAACAGGTGTTTGTCAAAGGCTGCCAGGCAAAAGACAGCCGCTTTCATGTCGCAATTATCTGAAAAAGCATAAAGTGTACTGGCAGCTCTGTAGAAAGCATTAAAGCATATTTATTATTTTGTAGAGAACTTTTGAGAGTTCACGGTGCTTCATCATGTATCACTGGGTTATAACTTTTACAACAGCCCTGTTAATTAGGGTTGCCAATCTCTAGGTAGATCCTGGAGATCTCCTAGAATTATAACTGGTTATAACTGATAATTTCCTCTGAAGAAAATGGCTGCCTTGGGAGGTCAACTCTATGGCATCTGACCAGGTTGAGGTCCTTCCTCTACCCAGACCCCAACTTCCCCAGGCACTACCTGCAAAATCTCCAGGAATTTCCCCATCCCAGAGTTGGCAACCCTGCCTTTAAGGTACCAGTGTTACTATTCCCATTTGGGGCTGACTCACACGTTACAAAGTCCATGTGGACTTTTGGCAGACATGTTTTGTGTTTAGTAGGATGGAGCTGCGGTGGCTCAAATGGTTAAGACGCTGAACTGCAGGCTGTGGAAGGTCGGTAGTTCAGTAGTTCAAGACCCGGGTGCCGCATGACGGAGTGAGCTCCCATCTCTAGTTCCAGCTCCTGCCACCCTAGCAGTTTGAAAGCAAGAAATTGCAAGTAGATAAATAGGTACCACTTCAGTGGGAAGGTAACAGCGTTCTGTGCGCCTTGGTGTTTAGTCATGCCGGCCACATGACCACGGAAACGTCTTCGGACAGCGCTGGCTCTTCGGCTTTGAAACGGAGATGAGCACCGCAACCCTAGAGTCGGATTCGACTGGCTTTCGAGCAAGGGAACCTTTACCTTTTTAGGATGTTGAAACTGAATTTAGAATCAGTTCTTCTTGAATTAGTTATGCTGGATCTTCATACGAGTGATTGGGACAAATACTTGGAATTTAAATTATTACCTCTGGGCATCAGTAATAATATGACAGAATTTATGAGTAGTTGTAAATTGAGTCAGTCAATTAGACTTTTGGGGGATCTTGATTATGAGTCTGCTGATTAGAGCTCACCGAGTATGTTCATCCTTTTCAGTTGCAAGTCTTCCCCTGATAAAAACGCCAGAGTCCAGACTACTTATTTGAATGCTCTCTTCCAAAGTATAGAAGGGCATTTAGGCATTTGAACGCCTTGCCATCAGGTGTGCTGCTAGGAAGGTTTAGTGGTATGCTATACTGCAGTGGTTCAAGTGGTTAAGACGCTGAACTGCAGGCTGTGGAAGGTCAGTAGTTCAGCAGTTCGAGACCCGAGTGTGCCGCATGACGGAGTGAGCTCCCATCTCTAGTTCCAGCTCCTGCCAACCTAGCAGTTCGAAAGCAAGAAATTGCAAGTAGATAAATAGGTACCACTTCGGTGGGAAGGTAACAGCGTTCCGTGCGCCTTGGTGTTTAGTCATACTGCTGGCCACATGACCACGGAAACGTCTTCGGACAGCGCTGGCTCTTCGGCTTTGAAACGGAGATGAGCACCGCAACTCTAGAGTCGGATTCGACTGGCTTTCGAGCAAGGGAACCTTTACCTTTACTTTATACTCTAATAGACTCTGTGGATGTGATATTAACCGAATGGACTCTATAGATCATATTATTTTGGGTTGCCCTGAATTTTCAGATTTGAAAGCTGAATTGATTTTTCCTTTAGCTCTTGAGAAGCTAATCTTCCTGGTTACTAAGAGATGAAGATAAACAAGCAACTTTGTATGTGTCTAAATTTTTGGCGGCTGTAGTAAAATCGCCTTGTAACTCAGGTAGCGGGTCTTAGGCTTCCCTTTTAGTTTGTGATGGCCTGTGGTTTATGGTGTTTGTTGCAAAAACAGTAATTAAGAAGAAGGCAGGCATATTCTGGCTGTTTGCCCAGGCTCAATTCACACGGAGACTGTGGCACATGGGAAGAAGGGATATCACACATCTTCCACCACCTATCCTCTTTTCCC